AGACATCACAATCCTGAACATCTATGCCCCAAATACAAGAGCACTCACATTTGTAAAAGAAACATTGATAAAACTTAAACCACTTATAGATCCCCACACATTAATAGTGGGAGACTTCAACACCCCACTCTCAACAAAGGACAGGTCAACAAAATAGAAATTAAACAAAGAAACAATGTCTCTAACAGAGGTCATGAATCAAATGGACCTAACAGACATTTACAGAACCTTACACCCAAACACAAAAGAATTTACCTTCTTCTCAGCACCGCATGGAACCTTCTCCAAAATAGACCATATAGTTGGTCACAAAGCAAGCTTCAACAGATACAAGAAGATTGAAATAATCCCTTGTATCCTGTCTGATCACCATGGAATAAAGCTGGACCTCAACAACAACAGAAATAGCACAAAGCCTACATACACATGGAAACTGAACAACTTGTTACTAAATGACAGCTGGGTCAGGGAAGAAATAAAGAAATAAATTAAAGTCTTCCTAGAACTCAATGAAAATGAAGACACAACATACCCAAACTTAGGACACAATGAAAGCAGTGCTAAGAGGAAAGTTCATAGCACTACGTGCCTTCAAGAAGAAATTTGAGACAGCTCATTCAAGCAACTTAATGGCCCACTTAAAAACCCTAGAAAAAGAAGAAGCAGACACACCAAAAAGGAGCAGATGGCTGGAAATAATCAAACTCAGGGCTGAAATCAGATTTCAGAAACAAATAAAACAATTCAAAGAATCAATGAGACCAAGAGCTGGTTCTTTGAGAAAATCAACAAGATTAACAAACCCTTAGCCAAGCTGAGTAAAAGGCAGAGAGACACCACCCAAATCAACAAAATCAGAAATGAAAAGGGGGACATAACTACAGACACTGAGGAAATCCAAACAATCATTAGGACTTACTTCAAAAGTCTATACGCAACAAAATTTGAAAATCTAAATGAAATGGACAATTTTCTTGATCGATTTGACTTACCAAAGCTGAATCAGGACCAGGTAAATCAATTAAATAGTCCTATATCCCCCAAGAAAATAGAAACAGTCATCAAAAATCTCCCATCCAAAAAAAGCCCAGGACCAGATGGTTTCAGCGCAGAATTCTACCAGACCTTCAAAGAAGACCTAACTCCAATTCTCTTCAAACTATTCCACAAAATGAAACAGAAGGAACATTACCAAACTCATTCTATGAAGCCACAGTCACCTTGATACCTAAACCTCATAAAGACTCAACAAAGAAAGAGAATTTCAGGCCAATCTCCCTTATGAACATTGATGCAAAAATACTCAACACAATACTTGCAAACTGAATACAAGAACACATCAAAGATATCATCCACTATGACCAAGAAGGCTTCATCCCAGGTATGCAGGGGTGGTTCAATATACCATATACCATTATACCATTCAGAAATCCATCAGTGTGATCCACCATATTAACAAATTGAAAGAAAAAAACCACATGATAATCTCCTTAGATGCTGAAAAAGCATTTGACAAAATCCAACATCCATTCATGTTTAAAGTATTGGAGAGATCAGGGATACAAGGCACATATCTAAACATAGTAAAGGCGATATACAGCAAGCCGATAGCCAACATCAAACTGAACGGAGAGAAACTTAAAGCAATCCCACTGAAATCAGGGACAAGACAAGGCTGCCCACTCTCTCCATATCTCTTCAACATAGTTCTGGAAGTCCTTGCTAGAGCAATTAGACAGTTGAAGGAGATCATGGGGATACAGATGGGAAAGGAAGAAGTCAAATTATCACTATTTGCAGATGATATGATAGTATATGTGAGCGACCCCAAAAACTCTACCAGGGAACTCCTACAGCTGATAAACACCTTTAGCAAAGTGGCCGGATACAAAATTAACTCAAAAAACTCAGTAGCCCTCCTGTATACAAAAGATAAAAGGGCTGAGAAAGAAATTAGGTAAACAACACTCTTCACAATAGCCACAAATGACATAAAGTACCTTGGTGTAGCCCTAACCAAGCAAGTCAAAGACTTGTATGAAAAAAATTTCAAGTCTCTGAAGAAAGAATTAGAGGAAGATATGAGAAGATGGAAAGATCTCCCATGCTCATGGCTTGGCAGGTTTAACATAGTAAAAATGGCCATCTTACCAAAAGCAATCTACTGATTTAATGCAATTCCCATCAAATTGCCAACACAATTCTTTACAGACCTGGAAGGAAAAATTCTCCTTCGTATGGACTAACAAGAAACCCAGAATTCCTAAAACAATCCTCTACAATAAAAGATCTTCAGGAGGTATCACCATCCCTGATCTTAAGCTGTACTATAGAGCAACAGTTACAAAAACAGCATGTTACTGGCATAGAAACAGAATGGTGGATCAGTGGAACTGAACAGAAGACCTAGAAATAAACCCACACACTTCTGGACACCTGCTTTTTGACAAAGATGCCAAAACCATACAATGGAAAAAAGATAGCATCTTCAACAAATGGTGCTGGTCCAACTGGATGTGTACATGTAGAAAAATGAAAAGAGATCCATACTTATCACCCTGCACAAAACTAAAGTCCAGGTGGATCAAAGACCTCAACATAAAACCAGACACACTAAACATGTTAGAAGAAAAAGTGGGGAAGAGCCTTGAACTCATTGGCACAGGAGACAACTTCCTGAACAGAACACCAACAGCACAGGCTCTAAGATCAACAATCAATAAATGGGACCTCATGAAACTGAAAGCTTCTGTAAATCAAAGGACACCATCATCAAAATGACTGCCTACACATTGGGCAAGAATCTTCACTAACCCTTTATCTGATAGAGGGCTAATATCTAGCATATATAAAGAACTAAAGAAGCTGAAAAGCAACAAACCAAGTAATCCAATTAAAAAATGGGGAAGAGAGCTAAACAGAGAATTCTCGATAGAGGAATATTGAAGGGCAGAGAAAGACTTAAAGAAATGCTCAACCTCATTAGCCATCAGGGAAATGCAAACCAAAATGGCCCTGAGATTTCACCTTATACCCATCAGAATGGCCAAGATCAAAAACTCAAATGACAACACATGCTGGAGAGGTTGTGGAGAAAGGGGAACCCTCCTCCACTGCTGGTGGGAATGTAAACTTGTACAACCACTCTGGAAAGCAATCTGGTGCTTTCTCAAACAACAAGGAATAGCGCTTCCTCAAGATCCAGCCATACCACTCCTAGGCATATATCCAAAAGAGGCTCAAGTACACAATAAGGACATTTGCTCAATCGTGTTTGTAGCAGCCTTATTTGTAATAGCCAGAAGCTGGAAACAGCCCAGATGTCCCTGAATTGAAGAATGGATGCAAAAATTGTGGTACATCTACACAATGGAGTATTACTCTGCAATGAAAAATAAGGAAATCATGCAATTTGCAGGTAAATGGTGGGACCTGGAAAGGATCATCCTGAGTGAGCTGTCCCAGAAGCAGAAAGACACACACGGTATATACTCACTCATATAGACTTATAGGATAAACGTAAAATCTGTCCATCTAAAGAAACTAATCAAGAGAGAGGACTCTGACTACAATGCTCACTCCCCATCCCAAAAGGCAAAGAGGATGGTCATCAGAAGAAGAAGAAAGCAGGAAACAACCTAGGAACCTGTCACAGAGGGCCTCTGAAAGGCTCTGCCCTGCAGACTATCAAAGCAGATGCTGAGACTTTATGGCCAACTGTTGGGCAGAGTGCAGGGAATCTTATGTAAGAAGTGGGAAATAGTAGGTTATGGAGAGGACAGGAACCCCAGAAGGAGAGCAACAGAACCAGAAGTTTTGAACACAGGGGTCTTCCCAGAGACCCATACTCCAACCAAGTACCAGGCATGGAGATAACCTAGAACCCCTGCACAGATGTAATCCATGGCAGTTTAATGTCTAAGTGGGTTACATAGTCATAGGAAGAGGGACTGCCTCTGACATAAACTGATTGGCCTGCTCTTTGATCACCTCCCCCTGAGGGGAGAGCAGTGTTACCAGGCCACAGAAGATGACAATGCAGCCACTCTGGATGTGATCTGATAGACTAAGATCAGAAGGAAGGAGAGGAGGACCTCCCCTATCAGTGGACTTGGGGAGGGGCATGCATGAAGAAGGGGGAGGGAGGGTGGGATTGGGAGGGGAGGAGGGAGGGGCTTATGGGGGGATATAAAGTGTAAAAAAAAAAATCAAAAAACAAAACACAACAACAAATCCTGATTGTAAATTTGTATATGTATTCAATCTCAACTAGATCAAGATTATACCAGATAGGAACTTACTCCATACTTACTCTTCAAACACTTATTTTTATTATTTTTAATTATTTGCATATTTATGTGTGCCTGTTCTGTGGTTATGTGTATGTTAGTGCAGGTGCCCATCTCTTAGAGCTGGTGTTAAAGGTGATTGTGAACTGCCATCTGTGGGAACAGAACTTGGGTCCTCAAGAGCAGAAAGTGCTTTTAGCTGCTGAGCCATCTCTTCAGACACAATCTGAGCCTGTTCTTAGATGCCCACCAGTGAACCCAGATTGTAAAGTGGATAAGTCGTTGTCTTACTGGCCAAACCCGGGGACATTTTGGAAGGCTGACACTTTTCTCCACAGTGGTTGATCACATACACCGGTAGACAGAAGGAATGCTTTTATTTGAATTACAAGAACCACCTTCAGGCACAATCATTTTGTAAAACTGGTAGAAGTAGATGTACATGTTTTATAGTGTCTTTTTTAAACCTAAAAAACTTTACTTTTTGTTTACATATTAAGATCTAAGACAGTTGAATTAAGCTTTTATTCACTTCGCTTATAAGGACTAATTTGGTAGTATAAAGCATCCTTTATACTTTTTAAAATTATATTTCATGTGTGTGTGTGTTTGTGTTTGTGTGTGTGTGAGAGGGCTCACATAGTCTATTATGTTGGGTTATTACTATAGATTGAGGATGTTTTGCCTTTTTTTTTTTTTTTCTAAATGAAGATGGAAATAGCTGAAGATCCTCAGCAAGTTTCAACCATTCATCTACAACTAGGATTACCACTGGTTTTTATTATTAGCCGACGGGCTACATATGAAGCCGATAGAAGAACTGCAGAGTGGTTGGCATGGCATCTTCTGGGGAAAGCAGGAATTCTGCTCTTGTTGAGGTATCTCACAGCAACTACTAACAATGCCTGCAATAGAATTTTTCTTATTTTAATATGGTAATCTAATCTCAGAAAACCCTTAAATCTGCCAGATTCTGGTGTATTCGGGACTGACGGTCTAAGACTGCATACTAGTTGCTTGACTAAACTTAAGATGAGGACTAGAAAAGCGCTGATATTTATACATGGACATTCTGAAGCTCACTAAATTGTAACTTACTATTCATAATTGTTTTTTAGAATAAGAACATATAGTTCTGTTTTCGATCGAAATTTTGGGAGGCTTTTTCAGATTAATGAATAAAACGTTTATTTCCATTTTGAAACAGGGACTCTGTGGACGTGAACATTCCTCAGCATGCTAATGTGGCCTTCAGAAGAGCAGAGAAGGTTAGTCATTTTACACACTGCTCTATAATTCTACCGCTTTTAGCTAAAGTACATGTGGAGTAAAGCAATACATGTTTATTATTGGAAATATCTTTAAATTATTAATCTCTAAATTCATAATTGCTGTCTTTATTTTCTAATGTGCCAGTCTTTTTTTCAGTGTTCTCATTAATTTTTTTTCTGAAAGCATATCTTACTTTTCTTATATTTAATAATTTGCTTTTGTTATGTCATGCCTGCCCTTATAAATTGTTTTAAATATCACTGATCCTTTCCTTTGGCAAAATTTCTGGAAGCAAAATTTGCCAAAGAAAATGAGATTCATTTTATTTTTATTTTTTGGAACAGGCACTCTACTTTGTAGTCCAGACTGACCCTTTACTTGGAACTCTCCTGTTTCAGCTTCTAGAGTGTGTATGTGTTGGGAGAACTACACAGGTGCTATGACACACACGTGGAGGTCAGAGGAGAACTTGTAGAAGTTAGTGTCCTTGTACTGTGTGGGTTCACATAATTGAACTCAGGTCTTCAGGCTTAGCCAGAGCCTTTCTGAAGATACCTGGGAATAAAGAAAAATTTTATGTTTATGGCTAGATAGAAAATTGAATTTTATGGAGGAATTCTCTTAAAAGATGTATTAGTTCTTTTATTTGGTAGAATGTAAAATTTACCAATTTTGAGGGATTATAGTTGCAATAAAATTATATTCATATTCCTCTTTTGAGATGTAGAACCTGTAATTTTTTGTGAGAATTTTCACAGACAGTAGTTATGACAAAAAACAAGTGAGGATTCAATCCCCACCCCCCTTTTTGCCTCTTTTTCAGTAAGGCATCTGTCTTCAGCTAAAGTACACTTTGGATGCTTTTCTCTTTGTAGTAATTGTGGCATTGATTTGGGAAAGAGAAGCCCTTATACATTGCTGGCAGAGTGTATACTGGAGTAGCCATTATAGAAATCAGTATGGAAGGTCCTCAAAAAACTAAAAAAATAGCCTAACAAAGGCATTGGGAGAGGGATCAGCAGCTGTAATGCTCGTTGGGCAAGTATGATATGAATTTGGATCTTCAGAACCCATGAAAATCTGCCCTTAATAATGAGTGTCTATAACCTCAGGGCCCCTCTAATGAGATGAGAGACAGAGACAGGAGACTCCCTAGAAGCTTGAAGGCTAGCTAGCTCGGTCAGACAACAGAGACCCAGTGTCATACAAGGGTAGAAAGGGAAGACACAAAAGGTTGTCTTCTGATCTCCAGCCATGTGCTACGCCATACCCACACCTTCCTTCAAAGGCCTTGTCTTCGTTAGGGTTAGAAATGCTGTTATGAGACACCATGACTAAAAGCAACTTGGGGAGGAAGGGTTTATTTGATACTCACACATCAGTTCATCATCAGATGTGGTCAGGACAGGAACTCAAACAGGTTAAGAGTATTGAAGCAGGAGCTGATGCAGAGGCCATGGAGGGGTGCTACTTATAGGCTTGCTCCCCATGGCTTGCTCAGCCTGCTTCTTACATGACCCAGGAGCACCAGCTCAGGGCTGCCACCATCCACAATGAGGTGGGCCCTTCCCCATCAACCACAAATTAGAAAAATGCCCTATGGCCTTGCCTGATTCAAGTTGGATATTCTAGAGGCATTTTCTCAATTGAGGTTCCTTCCTCTGAGATGACTGTAGTTTGTGTCAAGTGGGCATAAAACTACCTAACACAAATGTCACTCACATGCATGAGTGTGTGCACATGCACACACTCACACTTTATATACATGCAGTCATAAATACATACTGTACAAAAGGATCAAAAGGAATACAGGGACTAGAGAAACAGCCCATTGGTCAAGAGTGCTTACTGCTTTTGCACAAAACTGAGGTTCTGTTTTCAGTACACACAGCCACTTGTAATTCCAGCTCCAGGAGGTCTGATCTCTGATTTGGCCTCTATGGGCACCTGTACTTGTGTGCACACACAATTTAAGAATGACTCTTTAAAAAGTCTAAAAATGAAGCTAATATATAATCTGTCTATACCACTCTTGGGCATCTAGCTGAAGAACATTTAACTCAGCAGGGTGTTGCACATCTGTGCTTGTTACTGCACTATTGACCATAGCCAGAAAATGGAGTAAGTCTACTGCCCATCTACAGATGAATAGATAAGCAATGTGGTACATGTATACAATAGACTT